ATTTATTACAGATTCAAATCTTTTATTGTAGTAGGACGCGTGTACTTCTTTTTGCAAAAGTTTTTTCAGTTGCCTGTATTTTTCTTAAACTTTTTTTCTTCACTAAAAAAATATTTTGTGCACGTATTCCCCTTTCCGCTTACTATTTGATTTCTGTATATATATATCACATTATTTAAGACAAAAAAATAATGACTTGGATATTGCATATAAATGTATTTTTTTCGATTCTTTATTCTTTTCATAATACAAAATGAGATAGAGGTATCTTCATTATTTTCTGCTTTTCTTTAACATTTATTATCGTTGTATTTATTAGGATTATAAAAATTTTGCACATACGTAGTAAGTTTATAGAGGATTTTGAGTCCAGCAAGAAATATAAAGTAATAGGATGCCAAAAGCATGGAAAGACGATATGATATGATTATATACACATTTTGTGCTCTAGAAAGCAGAAGAGAAAACGTCAAATCTTAGCAAAACTTAAAATTTAATTTTCAAACAAATAGTATCACATTTAATACCTTTTACACTGAGTTTTTCTTAGGATACGAAATCTTCTACTATGTATACGTTTTTATCATCCAAATAAACATCACGATGATAAATGTTATAGAAAAACGAAAATAATTGACGCTAACGCTGTCTCACGTTGTATTAAGAAAAGAACAAAGATAAAACAAGATATAAAAATACATTTATATGGAATATCCAAGTCATTATTTTTTTGTTTTAAATCATGTGATATATACAGAAATCAAATAGTATGTAGAAACAAGGATAAGTTACTAAAATATATTTTCACTAATAGAAATTGTATTTGTACATGATTTGCCGATGGATATCAGAGTTTCTATATTTCAGACATTTTACGGAAATTTCAATTTCATGCAATTTTTTGAGATATAAACTTTCATTTTTTCAAAAATTTTACAGAATTAGAATCCCCTTAAAACAACGAACATTTTTTTTCTTCGATTTTGTTGAAGGATACATCATTCAATGCGAATTTGATGTTGATTACGAATATCAGATTGGTTTTGCATGAAAATGAAGTCTGAAGAAGAAAAAACATTTTTCGTTCTTGACGGTGTCTAACACATATATAGAGAATTTGGTCTACAGTCTCAAGGAAAAGATGTTCTTAACTTTAACAAAACTCTCAGATATATGTAAAAAAAGTCGTTCTTTCTGAATATGCTATTAAAACTTCTATGACAAGTCATTAAAGTATCAAAAAGTCCGTTTGAAACCCTGCCACCACAAAAGACCAATCAAAACAAAACTTTGTTTTGAGTAAGCAGACGGTTTTTTTAAAAAACAAAATTCAAAACTCAAATCAAAAATCAAAATTGCTCTTCTAGGAATTTTCTAGAAAATCACGCCTCAATTATCTACCTGATGCACACATTTTTAAGCTCATTTTAACTTCATTCGATAGAATGAATATCAGTTCATCAAGAACATCAAGAATTGAATATCAGTTAAAATTTCTTATTGGTGCCAGCTTTACTTCTGGAGTGACAGATAGAACAGCTGAATCAGCTGTTCTATCTGTCAACAAATTATCAAAAACGGATTATATTGAATATAATCCATTTTTGATAATTTTCCAAGTCCTTTTGATACTTTAATGACTTGTTATAGAAGTTTTAATAGCATATTCAGAAAGAACGACTATTTTTACATATATCTGAGAGTTTTGTTAAAGTTAAGAACATCGTTTTCTTGAGACTGTAGACCAAATTCTCTATATATGTGTTAGACACCGTCAAGAAGGAAAAATGTTTTTTCTTCTTCAGACTTCATTTTCATGCAAAACCAATCTGATATTCGTAATCAACATCAAATTCGCATTGAATGATGTATCCTTCAACAAAATCGAAGAAAAAAAATGTTCGGTGTTTTACGGGGATTCTAATCCTGTAAAATTTTAGAAAAAAAAGTGAAAGTCTGTATTTCGAAAACCCGAATGAGCCATTTTGTTCAGAATTCGCTGCTGATTTTAACCATATAATTTTTCTACGGAGTATTTTGGGTCGATAACATTGCGTAACTGCCCAAAAATATAGTTTACTAAAGCAGGAATTTCTCCTTCGGAATTTCTAATTTTGTAGCGGAATTGACGTACAATTTCGAAAATATAATTTTTATGACAAAAATATTCTCCTATACAAAAGAAAAGCCAGTAACCACATAGAATTTTGTACATTTCAGCCTGTCTCTTACTTGAAGAAGACAGAATAAATCTGTGGTCACGTAGAATTTTAAAAAATTCCATATATTTCTTAGAATTCCGTTATTAGAACAACTCAGACCTTTGATCTTATAGTTCTAAAGAAGTTCTTCCAGAATTCAAAGGAAAAATGTCGATTTCAGGACATTGTGTAAAATGTAGGAAATCTGCCGTTGCTGGGTTTGCTATAAAAACTTGTGTTGATTCTAGATTGTGAATTTTATAATAAAAATGTCTGACCTCGAGATGTGTATAGTGACTGATGGACACGCATCAATCATTGACTCTTCGTTACTAAATTCATTTTTTCTTCATGAACCGCTTAACGAACGCTTTGGTTATGATCTACCAGGTGAAGTGAAGGATTTTAATGACTACTGTATCAAATCTGCCGTACGTGATCAGTGCTCATTTGTCCTTATCGATAAAGAAACAAACAAAATTGCCGGCTTGATATTGAATATAATTAAGAACAGAAACGACACAAACGTCAAATTTCAATCTTCAACTCTACAATACATTTTTACAATGATTGGCAAATTACATGACAAACAAACCGTATTCGATCATTTCAACGTCGATCGAATTTTATACACAGCTATTATTAGTGTAGATCCAAATTATCGTGGACAAGCTTTGAGCACGAAATTGATTCAGAGAAGCTTGGATGAAGCTAAAAAGCACAACATACATGCTGCATTCACGGAAACATCGTCTCACTACTCACTGAAAGCATTTCTTCGACAAGATTATCAAGTGCTGAAGGAAATTCTGTATGAAGTATATGACAAAGAAAAATTATCAAACATGGGAGTTCATGATCGGTGTACACTCGTCGGCAGACATCTTTGAATAAAACAAGAAAATTGGTGAACGATTATATTTACGTAAAACCTAAATAAACAAAACTGACAAACATATAGAAAAATTATAGCGTGGAATACTAATGCTGAAGAATAAACTATTATATTCAAACACAGAATCTTTCTTTTGTTGCCTCTCTTTTAGCACTTTCCTTGAACTAGTCCCTGACAGAGAAAGTCAAAAAAATGAGCGTTAAGGAATTTCACCTTTTTTTTTCATTCTTTGCTTTGTATATATTTTTTCTGCCACAAAACCACTTACCAAGCTCTCACCTGCACATAGATAGATAGTCTGAGGTGCCCTCTATCTGACGCAGTAAAACATAAAGTTTCAAAATCAGATTAAACGGGCAGAAAATTGCTCATAAAATAAGCGCCAAAACGTTTTTTAGAAAATCAAAAAAAGATTTTGGCACCCCGACATGAAAATCAATGACGCATTTTGTAGAGTATTCGATTCTCTATTCGACTGGTATAGTTACTAGAATTTTCGAAGAAAATATATCTAGGTCAGGAAATTGAATTTAACCTTTATCCCCTGGTGCTAATTCAGCAGAACAGGTGTTGAGCTGACCGCAAGAATAGCTTAGGTGCGTGCTTAATAGGAATCAAAACGTATGCTGTGGTGGCTCGAAGTGTCATTTTTCTTTTCATGTATCAGAGGTTGGCACTGAATGTGTTTTCTGATACAAAAGGAAATGTTACTACGGTTTACTAAAAAAAGAAGAATTTCCATCTGTTCGTATTGTCAGTGGAAAGGAAAGCGAGTTATCGCACTTTCTCTGTCCGGAGTAACAGAAGAATTATTTTTCTCCAAGATAAAACATATCGGACCTTAAAATGTTTGATTTGGACGATTTGTAAGGCGCTCCAAATTCAAAGTTTAAGGACCATTTTATTTTTGGCTTAATCATACATCATTCGATAAAGCCTTACATGCTGACCAATAATATCTAACTTTCAGCTTTTCCAATGCAGTTTTTCAGTGAAAAACACTCCAAAAACTTCAAAGACCTGTTATTTTAGAAAAACCGGTAATTTTGTATAAAAAACTGATTAACTCGCTTCTACCGCATTTCAAAGCGTCGAAACTATGTTTTTCTTATTCAATGTTGAAAAGTGCATCTAGTAAATCAAGGTTCCACACCAAAAATATTTTCTGGGCGCGAAACGGAATCGATATATCTGCGGTTTCGAGATCCTCATCTTGCAATCATTTCACAGCGATGGTTGACACATGAAGCCATGTTTCATACGCCATTTGATTCGCCTGGAAACGTAGAAAAAAATCATTAATTCATTAATTGTTTATTATCATTAATTTTTTATTAGAGCAGCTGATTGAATACGTTAAATATGATGTATGACGTCGTATCATCATACACTACGGAAACTGATCAATATTTTAACTGAAAATGTTGATCAGTACATATGAATAATTAAAATTATTTTATTGGACACACACTGTTTGAAAATGTTGTTCAGTTTTATGTTATTCAAGAAATTTTGATTCTGAAGAAGGTTGTGCATAATTATTAGAAATATTATAATCGGTCATGTATATAAAGCGTTTTTTTTAAGTTTTAACCTGATTATAAATATTTTATGTCAATAATAGGATATAAGATACAGAAAAAGAAAAAAACATTGTTTCGTTTACTGCTTATTTTCCTCTATTGTAGATATAAGCATAAAATTCATCAATTTCTTTTTATTATGTCTTTTAGAACAAGTAAAAAAAAAACCTTTTACGTGAAAGGAAACGGAAAAGTCGAATTCAACGACAGTGGTTCTATTCAACTCATGAAAACGAAAAAAATTTTTATTTATGCATTTCAGTGACAAGCCATAAAAGTAACACACACATGGATAATAGTCGTGCATCTCAATATACAACGATGCGTTCTCAATTAGAGTATGCTCAAAATGATGTAAATCAAGTTGTTCAAATAATGAAAGAAAATATTGTTAAGGTAATTGATCGTGATGAAAAATTAACACATTTGGATAAACAAGTTGAAGATTTATCAAATGATGCCATGCAATTTCAAACAAATGCAAGACATGTTAAACGTAAGCAATGTTGGAAAAATGTTAAAATGTGGATTATACTAATTATTTTATTACTTGTTATTATCATCGTTGTTGTTACTCTAACAGTCACCCTAGTAAATCAACGAAATAATGATAATAACAGTGGTACAGGAAAGTAGTCAGTATAATTTTTATTTACTAGAATAGAAAAGCACATAAACGCCGAATTACTTTGTATATTCTTTTCAGAAAACAAGAATAGCATATTGAGCTGTTTGCTATAGTCAGGCTATTTTTTTGTTCACACAATGTTCTTTTACATAATGCTATTTGTTACATTATAAATGCTCATAAGTATGTTAATTTGTGAGAAAGTCTACATTCAGACCAGCACCGTACAAACCGTATCCCCAGCAAAAATCATCTATGGAAAAAATTTAGATACATTTCGTCTCTAATCTGACGATGCACGACGAGTTGCCATCTAGATTACTGGTTGGAAAAGGGACCTTTAACTGGGTGCGTCTGCATGTGAAACTAGCAATAGTGAAATAGAGCGATTATCGGGCGATAAATCGGTAGTTGTAACTGAAGAGAAATCTATCAATCATCCGATTACTAGATTTCCGCTATCGTTAACAAATAATTGCAACTGACTAAAAATTTAGTCATCTTGATAAATCGGATGACACTAGAATATTTTTTGATGCTTGGAATGCAGCACATAAAAAGAAGTATTTGATGGGTGCAACAGTCGGAATATCGATATAAGCTTACATCACAACTTCACTCATGCCCGCACATTTGTTTCTATCTTAATTTTACATGTTCATGGTGATAGGTAGGTGTTCGTCAACGTTTATACGTATCAGCAACGAGGTTTTTGACTGACAACAAATAAAAGTCCAGAGAAGTAAGTCATCCCGCATCTTTATGCATTTGTTGTGCAATATGTAGAAATGTAGTTAATAATCATCAGTGTACTATGTATAAAAATGGAGTAATTCGTACAAGGTTAACAACTAGTTCATCTTATCTTTGTTTTGAATCGATTTCTGAAGTGGTAGAAACGTATTTTTATTTGATTTTAAGTAATTCAACTTTTGTTGATCAAAATCGAGTATTTTCTTATTAATAAGCCGCAAAACGGCTGTCTTCCGAAGGTCATATATTTGATAAGTAAAATGTATTTTACTAGGGTTTCTGCCACTTCTACGCATGGAGAAATATAGCATGGGTACTCCTTGACATTCTCTGCACAATATGTATATAATATAATAGTTAATGGTAATATCTTCATGGCAGTAAAGCTTATAAAATATGCTACCCCCCCCCCCCCCCCCCCCCCAAAAAAAAACACCGCGGGAGGGTAAAAGAAGAAAATGG